TGGAAAAGTCATTTTACCTTCTTAAGAATCATGTCCGTATAGGTAACCCTAGAAACCAATCTTAAAGTTTTTAGGATACAAAAGAAGTATCTATGCAGTTTTCCATGTAATGGCTGCAAAATGGAAGCTCTCTGATTTACAGACTAGCCTACAAACAAAAGCTTCAAAATGAACTTGCAACTTATCAAGTTGGGTTTATCTTGTATCTTTGACAACAGAATGATAGGGGATTAAATAAAGAAAATCAATTACTTTAAATTGTGCACTGCTTTTACTAAAATACAGATTTTCCTAAACATAGGATGCATTTTGTAAAATTTCGCTCTGAGACAGTTATCAGAAGAAAATCTCCTAAAAAGTGAAGGGTACTCTAAGTTCATTACATTATTTTACTCACCAATACAGTTAATAAAGGACTTCCTGAAAATCTCTGTCAGAGACCTAACCACCCTTCTTCCAGAGTCAGTAACAGGTGTTCATACAGTAAAGCAGCCCAACGATACCAGGGTAATCTACTGTAGCAATCCAGACAAAAGTAAGAGAGAAGCAGAGAGGAAATTTCAACTGGAAAATATTTTTACATAATTGACCCAGATGACAAACTAAAACTAAAGCATATGTCAAGTACTAGTCTGCACAAAAACACATATACATAGATACCAAAGGATGCTAAGAGCCCAGACAATTGGCCAACGTGAAGTCTTAACCCTCAGTCGAGTGTATATCATTTAATAACTGTGTAGAAAAGATGCACAGAGGAAGCTAAAGGGTACTTTCATTTCAGATAAAAAAAAATGTTTAAAGTCTTTCAATTTTTTAACTTGGGAATTAAAGATAATTATCACTGCGAAAAGTGTTAGGGAACTTCTCCTTTCAATGTATTAAAACACTTGTGTTTCCTAACTATCTATAAAATCCCTGTGTCTAACTACTTTTTTCTAATCACTTTAAAAATGTATAAGACTTGTTTGAAGCCTACACTTAAGTTATAACACTGAAAACCCTTAGGAAATAAATGCATATATTGGAACCAAAAGGCAACTTTTTTCTCATAGAAAGATAAAAGTAGAAATAATACAATGTGAATTCCCAAATGTTTTTACTTCATCTCCTACGTAAGCTATATGACAAAGCTACTTAACTCTTCTCACAAAATTAGACCAAGATAAAGGGAACAATGAAAATACTAAGAAAAGCAAATTAGTTTTTCATGTTCCCAGCTTCTATTTTTGAAAAATTTAAGCATACAGAAGAACTGAAAAAATGAACACCCATGCTCATTAAATATATCCTCCAACCAAATTTAAAAATAATACTATAGAACTAAATTCATGCACTGAGCCTCTAGTAAATAAATTATACAAGCAAAAAAGCTGAACACATGGTTATTTTACATGAACAGTATCCAGATGAACCTTTCAAAGACACTTAGAATCATTTTCTCACATTGTTAAAAGACAAAAGTGAAACTATCTAAAGTTACAAAAAGTTTCATATTAAAAAATAGTAATAAATATAGGCCAAAAAGCAGTCCTGGTAGCATCTGGAATGTTATGCTAGGTCATGAAGAAGTGAGATTCAAGTGCAAATAACTATGAGCTAAGTTCTTATAAAAAAGGTACAGATTTTGAATAGACAAGAAAAATTCAAAGTTTATCATACGTAATTGCGCAATTAAATGAGAAAGTAGGCATAGAAAAATGGAGGTGACAAAAAGAGCAGAAAATAGCCCATGCTAGCATGGAAAAGGTTCTTTTGTTTATTGGATCGGACTCGGCTCCCTGGTGGTCCTTGGGGATCACGAAGTCTGAGCATAACATTCACAAGTGCTGTCCTGTCTTCTAGCGTGGTGTTCTCCTGAGCAATGTTAGGAAAAGTTAAAATCCTGCCTCAGAAAATGTCCCTGCTTTTTTTCACAACCATCTATGGCCCCATCGTTCTGAGAGTGAAAGTAAAAACTCCTCATACAAAACCAAAAAAGAGTAGAAAATGTCAGTATATGGCCATGTCCACTACCACAAGGTAGGAGGGCAGGAACCACATAAAAAGCAACCGGAAATTTCAAAATAATTCATTACTCCAATGTTGAAAACTGGTTTTGATTCAGCATAACATGGTCTCCTCCCCAAATCTCCATGATCCAGTATCTTCCACACAAAGAAAGGTAAGTATGCAAACAGAAGAAATTGTGAAGATACTGATGTTTTAAAGTATATAGGTTAAACACCCTACATAATAAAAGAGTAATATGCAAATTAATTGCCACTCTGCTATACCCACAAGCCACACCCACCAGCCAATCAAAGTGAGTATGCAAATTAACCCTAACCAAGATGGCTACAGCCACAGAGAGCAAGACGGAGGCTTGGGTTTCCCAAGAAATGGAAGATGCCAAGCTTTCCACCTGTCCTAGCTGGCCTAAGCCTGCACTCAATGCTACAAAGTTTTAATTATAGAATAAATCCAAACACCACAGGAGCAAGCAGAAGGCTTGGCTCTGCTCCAGGCTACAAAGTTTCAATTGTAGAAAGTAAATATATCCCAGATACCAGGGCCTCCACTTGGGTCCCTGGGGGGCGTGGCCAGCCTGCAAACCACCACAGGCCCTTTGCCCAGGCTCCCCATACCCCAAAGGAACCCCCACCCTGATCTGGGACACCCTTCAGGGCAAACCAGCTGGTGCCCACCCGTACACTAGACCTCTAACCTATCTAATAAAAGAGTAATATGCAGATTGACCACACACAAGATTGCTGCCCCCATGTGGTCAAAGATCCTGCCCCATGTAGACACAAGCTGGCCTCCACAAGATGGCCAGCAGGAGAGGGCAGTTGGGAGGCACCAGGCCTGCAAGGGAGGGCAGTTGGGGGTGGTCAACCCTGTAGGGAGCGCAATTAGGGGTGACGAGGCTGGCAGAGGAGGGAAGTTGGGGGCAAATAGGCTGGTAAGGGAGCAGTTATACATCAATCAGGCTGGCATGGGAGTGGTTAGGGGTGATGAGGCTGGCAGGCAGAAGCGGTTAGGGGCAATCAGGAAGGCAGGCAGACAAGCAGTTGGGAGCCAGCAGTCCTGAATTGTGAGAGGGATCCCAGACTGGAAAGGGTGCAAGCTGGGCTGAGAGACACTGCCCCCAACCCCCCTTGCACGAATTTCGTGCACCAGGCCTCTAGTATCTAAATATCACCCCACAAAATATTTTAAGAAAAGTAAAATAAGTCTTATACTTTCAAACTGTCAAGGATTTCAATGTTCTGTGACAGAAAATGTATTTTGTTATGAAAAATGTCTCTGGTGACATCAAAACATTATCTTTTGATTTGTTTTGTTTTCCAAAACATTATCATGTATCTGGCCAGTGTGCTGAGTGTCAACCCTATGAACCAATAGGTCATGGTTTGATTCCTGTTCAGGTCACAGGCCTGAGTTGTGGGCTCAATTCCCAGAAGGGGGAATACAGAAGGCAGCCAATCAACAATTCTTACTCATTATAGATGTTTCTATCTTTCTCTCCCTCTCCCTTCTTCTCTGAAATCAATAAAAATATATTTAAAAAACAAAACAAAAAAATTATCATGTACCTCTGAAATGAATTTGCTACTTAAAATATTTAAATACATGTCTTTGTGGTAAAGTCCACAGAAATGGATTTAAGGTCTTATGTATGTATATTTAGTAACTGAATATGTAATTGCATTTCATAAAAATTAACATCTGGTCCTAAAGTAAATGTAAAACTACATATCAAATAGTATTTTCTATCCCAAGTAATAGGAAAAGGCAGAACAAATGTGTGTGTGTGTGTGTGTGTGTGTGTGTGTGTGTGTGTGAGAGTCAGAGTAGAATGTACATACATTCTGACTGCAAAAAAAATTTTTAAGGAATCTAGTATTACCAAATAAAGTACCTGGTTTCTTTGAAAAGTTTATGTATGTAAATATCAAATTCACAATCATCCTATATAAGAAAAGCCTAACATGCAAATTGTCCCCTCAACCAAGAGTCCGACTGCTTGCACCTGTGATGAACACCAGGGGGTGGCGTGGAATATGGCAGGTGGCAGCAATGCAACAGTGGCATTAAGCAGCAGTGGAGGCACTGCTGGGCCTGTTGGGCCCTGATGAGAGCGGGACTGTGGCAGGATGGTAGAGCAGGTGAGTGGGCAGCGCAAGGCCAAGACAGGTGTGAGTGGGGGCCCAATCGCCCAGCAGACAGCAACCAGCAGTGGGGGGTAGGGCCACCGCCCCGACTCCCAGGTGCTGAGAGAGTTGGCTGGGGATGGGGGAGGGCCAATGACTCAGAAGGGAGTGGAGGGCATGCTGGGGCCCAGGTGCTGCACAATGTCCAGAGGTCAGCTGGGACCTGCCCTTCTATACCAGATTTCTCATGCTTTGATCACCGGCCAGGCCTAGAGACCACATCTATGCATAAATTTCGTTCACTGGGCTTTTAGTATTTATTTATAATTAAGTCTTGGATGAGCAAAAGTGATCAGTACAATTTAAAAATGTAAAAACTAAAGAAGACTGGTTTGTATTAAACGAGTATAAGAAATACTGAGAGCCAGGACCGGTTTGGCTCAGTGGATAGAACGTCGGCCTGCAGACTGAAAGGTCCCGGGTTCGATTCCGGGCAAGGGCATGTACCTTGGTTGCGGGCGGGATGTGCAAGAGGCAGCTGATCGATGATTCTCTCTCATCGATGTTTCTATCTCTCTATCTCTCTCTTCTTCTCTGTGAAAAATCAATAAAATATATTTTAAAAAAAGAAAAATACTGAGAATCAAGAAACTAAATAAAACAGTCTTCTACTGTCCACCTGATTATGCTGATGAAACTAATTTATTTATCTCTCATCTCCCTATACTACATTGCCATCAAACTCAACCGAAAATCAGCTACTCCTGAAGTTGCTTTCTCATGTTCTCTGAAGGGCAGGAATGAGAGGATGGGTTCTAAGGGGGCTAGACTAGAAAGAATCAACTTAAAAACTTAATGTCATACCTTTATTGCTAGGAAATTCAGTCCACTTTCATTGGCCAAAGCCTTTGCAATCATCGTTTTAGAGCATCCAGGTGGCCCATACAGAAGAACTCCTTTAGGTGGCTGAACACCCATTCGGGTAAAAGACTCTGGATGTTTCAAGGGCCATTCCACAGCTTGTTTCAATTTCAGTTTGATATTTTCCAGTCCTCCTATATCTGACCAGGATACCTGCAAAACAGAACATGTTCTAAACGTAAGTTTGCCAGGACAAACAGAGAACTTATAAAAAAAAGATCAACAAAAGAAGTACAAGAGAAGGAACAGACTATTTAAAAATCAGGAGGATCCTGAAAGAAATTTCAATAAATATCAAGATTAATTAAAAGTACATAAAAAGTAATCTGTATATTAAAGAAATACTACAGAAAAAACAAAATATTTCTGCTTGTGAATCTTATATAAAAACTGCTTGAATGATTGAACACACTAAGTCTATTTTCTTTACTAGATGGCTTTTAAAAGTAGGTTTTATCTGTCTGCAAATGGTTTGTGTTAGTGACCCAAAGTCTTGTCTATACATCTAATTTCTTTTCTTTCTTTTTCAGCAAATACTTTAAAATATATTCCTGTAGATACTTACAGAATATATAATCTTTTCTGGCTGGCATATTGATAAAATATCCTCAAATTTTTGTTCATTTTCCTCAAATATGAAACACCCCCCAAACAAGAGAGCTCTTTGCATATTATTTACTTAATATGCATTAAGAACTAATTAGGAAATAGAAAAATAAAACATAAATAGACTTTAAAGAATTTAATAACTACCAGTAACTTGCACAGAAATAGCCATAGTACAATGGAAAGGGTCCTAAGCACAGTAGCAAAGAAACAGAAAAGGCCTTTGGGAATTCCCAAGAAGGAAAGATTCCTTCCAATTAGAAAGCAAACTGAAATTCAACTTTTGAAGCCTGGATGAGATCTGGAAATGTGAAAATATGATGAAAGACTCAAAAGAAAGTCTGACAAGGATAAGAGAGAAAAAATTGAAAGTGGGAAGTAAAATTAGAAAAGTTCAATTGAGGATATATAGTAATAGAGAACCCTGAAGACTAGATGAAGGAGTTCAAGAATCTTTTTTATTCACATAAGAAGTCTTTGAACATTTTAATCTAGAAAGTGATGTGGTCTGATCTGTGCATAAGGAAGATTCTCAGACAAAATTCATTAAAGGACAGAGTGTGCAGGGAGACCAATTACAGACTGACCACAAACATCCTTAAAAACAAAAAAAGGGGCTTAAACTAAGGTGACCACCCATAGATAATGAAGATATGCCAGAAAGACAATGAAGGTCTACAGTGGAGGGTTCTGAGGGTGGAATAAGAAAGAGGGAGAACTGGAAAAAAAAAAAGTTGTCAAGACAGATTGATAGAAAAATGATCTTGAGGAGAAAAAATAAACTAGATTTTTTTTTTTTACAAAGTTAAATGAATGATATTCAAAATATGAAAACTGAGTATTTGGAATGTAAGCATCACAAATTGAGTTCTGTAAGGAGGATAGGCCTGGAATGTCACATTTTAGAAATCTCTACATACAAACAAAAGAATCCATGAGATCCATTAAAATTGCTAACCATGAGAATAGAGATGTGGGTATTGGGCACCACCTGCATTTAAGAGGCAAGAGGAAAGGAAGAAGAAGAAAAGTCAGAAAACAATCTACAAATCCAAGAAAACAGAAGGTTTTTTGTTGTTGTTGTTAATATCACAAAAATATTACTTTTCCTAAATGAATTTGCACGGTACAGTTTTTTTGTCCACAGAACCAGGAGAAAGCTGTATTACCAACCATAATCCTGAGATCATATAATTTTTTTCTAAATTGCTTTCCTGGCATTTATTTTATGAAGTAAGAATTATTGGATTAAAAGGCATGGACATTTTTAAGGTCTCGTGATGCACAATGCCATGTTATCTCAACCACTTCATCGATTTTAAAATAATTAGGTCTGGAGAGGTAGTGAGAAAGAATATGGAAACAAGGGTAATAGCCAGGACTCAGACTTCGGGCAATTGTGTAATTGAGTTACCTTAATAAACAAAAACAAAAAATATTTGAAAATTAAGAAATTTGTTTTCAATTATTGCAATACTTGGAATTTATGAATAAAATAAATTAAATAAACTTTAAGAGAAATATCTTCTATGTGCTGGACTTGACTTAGGAACTGTAAAGGCACAAGTTGAGTGAAATAATATTCTCAAAATTTTGTAATCTAAAGAGAAATAAAAAAAGTAGCCTAAGATCCAGCCTTTGACTAAAGACATAAAATATCTTTGCACAAATTAATGCAAAAACTACTAAAAATAATTAAAATGGTTTTACAGTTCCTAAATATGTGAGATGGTGAGGATAGTGATTTAGAAATCATTGAACATATGTAAGACCTGGGCAACGTGTTAGAATGTGAAAATTACAGTAGCAATTCCCACTTCATATGATTATAAAGATAATTGATATATAATAAATACAGCATATAAGAAATTATAAAGAACAATAAAGAATTATCTGTTTTTCCAAATACCTAAAAGTAACCTCTGTTGCCGAAACCGATTTGGCTCAGTGGATAGAGCGTCGGCCTGCGGATTGAAAGGTCCCAGGTTCGATTCCGATCAAGGGCATGTACCTTGGTTGCGGGCACATCCCCAGTAGGGGGTATGCAAGAGGCAGCTGATTGATGTTTCTCTCTCATGGATGTTTCTAACTCTCTATCCCTCTCCCTTCCTCTCTGTAAAAAAATCAATAAAATATATTAAATTTTAAAAAAAGTAACCACTGTTAATACCTTCCAGCCTTTCAAATACATGTGCGCACATGCGTGGGTGTGTTTTTAATGATATCATAATGTATTTACAATTTTATATTCGTACATTTTTCATATTCATACAATTCTCAGGATTATTGTGAAAATTAAACAGTACAGTATTAAATTAGCTGCACTTTTAGGCACACAGTACTTATTTAATAAATAATAGGTATTATTTTATTCAAAGGTCTGAAACATGATTATAATAGTTATATTCTGAAGGAATAGTGACAAAAGATAAGGATTAAGCCATCATATGTACGGTTCCATGACAATATTTAATTACCTAATTTTTCTATTCTTTTTCCCTTTGTCTGATTATTACATTTCTTTAACTAAAAGTTTTAAATTTTAATTCAGCACCTGGTTGCCAAATAAATGAAGTTTTTCTATAGCTAAGATATCAATTCAAAAATAAATATAAATCAGCTTTAAAAGCTTACAATTGCACGGAAGAGTCTTAAACACAGAAAGTCATGGGAAAAGTTAATCTGTAAGAGAACAAACACCAGCATGAAATCATAAAATCCTAGAACTAGAACAGGAATTCAAAACTAGTTGGTTCACTATCCCATCTTCAGTCAGTATTTCATCTTTCAACTCCTCTCATCTTTCAACAAATACTATTTTTATGCTCTTTTTAAAACATTCTGCAACTCTCTCTTTTTACTAAGTTACACTATATCATAACTGCCAGAAAATTATTTCTACAACCTAACCTAAATCAGTCCTAATAGTTGGGTCCTTTCTTATTTTGTCCTAATGAAACAGTGAACAGCTGCTCACACATGGCTTTATAACTCTTTGAATTAGTAATAAAGTTAGAAATGAAGGAACAGCTGTCAAACAAGCAGAGACAGTGCAGTGAAATAAAATTCCCAGGAAAAACAATCCCCCACTCCCAAATTCTTATAGTACTTTCTGGATAAGAATCCAACAATACACACCAAAAAATCAATTCAAACTACACACCCATGGAAGATAAAAGCCTGATGATCAGACTGAAAAACAAACAAAAACAAAAATCACACAAACTTTTATATAGACAAGTCCCTAGGGGACAAAATAAAAATTAATGAACTGGATTGCAGACATTGGGAGAATTACTATCAGGGAAGAATTCAGTAGCTCCAGAGCGGCTGACAGTGTCTTTATATATCTGTGAGTCCTCTTATTTGCTAAGTGCCAAGTTTTACACTGCCAGAAACAAAAATTCTTTTTAAAGTGTTATTTTTATAGAAAATATTGCAACAAAGAGTACTTTTCATTTTGTTCTTTCATGCTAACAAGTTCCCCATAAGGACAAGTTTCCAGGAAGCAGCAAGTGTGTTGGCACCTGTTCCAAATTCTCTGCTGGGCCATTCACTAGATTTTTAACAATTCAAATGTTTAAAGTACATTGATTTTGTTTTGAAATCATAAACATACCAAATTTCTAAAGATACTACATAAAGCAGAAAGAAGTAAGTTGAGAAAATCCAACCTCCAAGAGCCAAAAGAAAAAACAAGCAAAAGATTTCCAGGTGCTTCTTTAATGGAGAAAAAGCAAAATTAGGGAGCAGCAGTGTTCAAAGGTGTTCTTAGATCTAATTGAAAATAAGTGAAAGCCTATAGCTTTATATAGTGAAAATACAAGAGGAAGGGAGAGGGATAGAGAGTTAGAAACATCGATAAGAGAGAATCATCGATCAGCTGTCTCTTGCACACCCCCTACAGGGGATGTGCCCACAACCAATGTACATGCCTTTGACCAAAATCGAACTTGGGACCTTTCAGTCCACAGGCTGACACTCTATCCACTGAGCCAAACCATTTTCGGCTCATGTAAGTAAATTCTTAAGTAGTTCGGATTCTGTATCTTAAGATATAGACCAGAAAGGAAGTTCCCAGATGGGCAAATAACTAAAGCTGGCCAGAGAGCCAACATGCTCGGGAAAGAGAATTGTCACTGATGTTTTGTTGAGAGCAGAGAAATGAGAATGCCCTGACAAAGAATAAAGGAGATTTCAGAAACAATTCTCACAGCACAGTCTTACTAATGGTCAATATTTAGAAAAAGAAAAAAAGATTTTTCCTTATACCATAATTAAACTTGTACCTGGATGCTAAATGTGCTACATGTAATAGCTAAAATTTTCAGCCTAAGAATCAGCCCTGAAAGATGATGCTAAAAGAAAATTGTGGAGAAAGAAGTTGCCTAGAGAAATTAGACATTCATCATAAGTATATTCATTGAGAAAGGTCAAGAAAGTCTCAAGAACTGTGTAAGCCTAGGTGGTAGATTGTTGAGCAAAAATTAACTATTCTAGGGTAAAAGTTGTCTAACTTTTATCTTTTATAACTTCTGATAAGTATG